GGTTGTTGCGCCGTGTAGTCTGGTAGATGTTTACTGACGTTTCAGAGGTCATGCTGCCTCCATCATCGCCCTGATGATGGAGGCACCAAGGACCTCTGAAACGTCAGTAAACATCCTACCAGACTACACGGCGCAACAACCTAGAAGACAGCCGTCTTCAGACTCACTGCTGTGAAAGCGTCAAATCCTATGCAGATACCTGTGATACCAAGATGCAATTCCCTCTCTTCCATTTGTAACGGCTTTGCTCCATTTCCTTTCATAAGCTGTGTGCTTCCATCATCAGGGCAGTTTGTTGGTTAGTATCTGACATTACGCCGTGCAACACGCTGTGAGAACCTGAAATATAGATTTATCATGTTTGTCAATAATCTGTGATTGAATAGAAACTTTATGTTGCCTCAGAAGAAGGTAGCCAATTTTTTAAACTTCTAAATGCATGTCTTTTATTTGGATTAAAATGGTAACAATAGCAGAGTTGGCTGCAAGGAAGCCATCGAAGGTTTTCTACGATAATTTGGTATTAAATTTACATAATATATTCATGGTACTAAACAACCGGGTTTTCTGTAATATATATATATTTATTTATTTATTTATTTATTTACAGATGGAAGAAATACATATTTTGCTACCGAGTACTGCACAATTATGACACCCTGCCTGTGCATGTGTCGTGAACAATTATTTATGGTGCATGACCCAACTTTTCCTTTAATTATTTTAGATTCTTGAGTGGCCCAATAGAAACTTTGTCACTCCTGGCCATTTACTCCTCTAGTGTCTGTTGTGGATTTAAAGATTTTAAGTACCTGTATTTTTTAAATATTTTTTTGTAATCTGCACACGTAAGATGTAATCTCTTTGTCTTCCAGTTGTATAGTGATGTTTTGTCGTGGAAGCTTTTCCACATCAAATAATGAGGGAAGTTAAATGGACACACTTGTGACAAAAAACAGTTTAAAATGTATGCATATGCATAATTTTGTTTTATGGTGTGTTGGGAGGAGGTGATATGTAAGAAATAGCTTTATTATGCATTATAAATAACTATTAAGGTACTGAAGGTCTGAATATAATAAAATGTGCGGTGATTAAAGTGTAACATTTTTATTATTACTATTGTTATTTTAATAATGATACAGGCATACCTCGTTTTATTGCGCTTCACAGATATTGCGTTTTTTTTACTAATTGAAGGTTAGTAGCAACCCTGCGTCGAGAAAGTCTATCGGCACCATTTTTCCAACAGCATATGCTCACTTCGTGTCTGTGTGTCACATTTCGGTAATTCTCGCATTGTTTTTTTTAGACATAATGCTATTGTACACTTAATAGACTACATTATAGTGTAAACATAACTTTTATATGCACTGGGAAACCAAAAAATTCATGTGACTCGCTTTATTGCTGTGGTCTGGAACCGGAACCGTAATATCTCTGAGGTATGCCTGTATGTCATAAATGTTTAATACTTATAATGGAAGTATATGCAGTTTTTTAAGTGTTTGAGAATTATATCTGTGTGTGTCTGGCAGATGGGGTCGCGGGCACCCAGAGGAATATACAGAAGCCATAACTTTGGGCGAAGAAAAGTATGATCCAGATTCCCAGGACGGCAAGAAGCCTCGGGCAGGCCAGATCTTATGGATCCGTGGCCTAACAAGACTTCAGACACAGGTAAGTGGAAATAACTAATCTCCTTGCATTTCTTAATCATAAGTTGGTCGCAGATGTGTTTCATTTCTATTCACACTTTTCTGTCACATTCTGACTGCTATGCTCTTGCTTTGATTAGTGCAATAAGAAATCAGGCAAGGTTAATAATTTTATGAATACATTTGCTTCAGTATGCCTTAACATGAATAAATAGATAACGTATTTTCTGTTCCGGATTGGCGTTTCAAATGTTAGTGAGAAAATCTGAAATTGATCTTTTTGAGTCAGTGAAATATTAAGCCAAAGTTCGGTCTTACATTTTCCTCAAATTATAGGTCACTACATTTTCCATGTTATAAGACATTGATATTTGAGTGCAAAATTGCCAAACTGCCTAGCTTAGAAATTTAAAGCAATGTAATCTAATGAAAGAAGTAATTCTTCTTGATTTGTACTGATTTATGGAGAAAAACACAAATTATTTCTATTCCTTGCATGTCACTGGTTGTGACTTTGAGAAATCTTACCTTTGTTTCTCACAAACAACAAACAAGAAGAGTTAGTTCTAACTGAGAATGCTTCTGTGCTTTACAGTGCTCTTGGAGGAAAATATGGCATGGTATGATGCGTCTTTGATTCTTCTTCTAGCGTCGTTTCTATTTTATATCGGTTGATGGGCCTCTTTGATTATGCCGGATAAATTTCTTCTCTTTAGATTGATTTCTCATGCTTTATTTTCAACTGTCATTGCAAATTTTTCTTAAAAGTGGATATATTGATGCACATGGCTTAGATGGGATTGGAAGGCAGATCACCTCAACTGACGACCACAGACCGCAGTGGGAAGCTATGGTTATTTTCAGTGATACATTCTGCGCTATGGTCGATGATGTATAAAACACTAATATTTAGTTTCTTGCTTTATTTCTATTTCTGTTGGTTGACAACTGCATTTAATAACCATTGCTTCTTGTTGCTTTCAAGAAGTCATGTTCTCTGTGTTTGTGTTTGTTCAGTTGTTTTTTTTTCCACTCGTCTCATCATTGTATGCGTTGGGAACACCTTTAAAAATGCAAACTTTTTCTAGTGATACATTTATGAACTTTTGGTGTAATTCTAGCTCTTCTCAGTTCTAGCAAGAAGTGACATTTACACATACAGGTAAAATTTCACAATACAGTATTACAAGACACATAATTATTTATATATTCTGTACTCAGGAAGATGCTTTAAATACCCATACATGTGCTTATTTATTACCTAGGATTGCCATTATTCATTATGTAATGATATGAATATTTAAAATTCGGAATACATTGACACTGAACTTAATTTATGTTTTAAATGCAAGTCAGGACATTAATTTGAAGTTTTCACAATTCTCGGGAATTTTTAAAAATAACCCGTATTTTACCAGTAATTGTTTGGCACCTAAAACATATGGCATTAAATAATATGTATAGTAAAAATGTAGCTGAAGTACATAAGGTTTGAATCTTGTGTATGATGTCAGAAATTTCTGATATTTACGTTTCAGATTTGCTGAATACCCGGCTGTCATCCCATATCTTACATGTATACATAATGGTAATGGTCGCTTTACTAACAGCTGTTTGTTATTCTTAACCAGAGTCTTGACTTAAGTTGAGCATCCCCCCCCAAAAACGGCTGTATCGAACGAACAAGACTTGGTGGTGGAGGAATGCCAGCCATTGCTTGGACTCACTGAAGAGTCCAACCAGTCACTTGTGCTGTACCAGTTCTTCTCTAGGCTTTACTCAAGTTGAGTGTTCTGTACCCATGGCCTTGCCTGATTTGTAACATGTCTAACCTATATATATATGTATATGTAAAATCTTGAAAGGGATTTGGCTGAATGATGGGATGGTTTGTGGCTACTAAGTTACTCAAATCTAAAAGTTTGTGACGATGGCGAGTTATTTAAATAAAACGTTTTTTGGATGTCATCCATCGTCTAATAAAATTGAATGACGTTTCGGAGATGGGACTCTATCTCCGGAGATAGGGATTAGCTCTATCGATTGGGCCCAACAGAGTAGGTTACCTGAAGACGGAGATAGAGTCCCATCTCCGAAACTTCGTGCAATTGTATGATTTTATTGGACGGTGGATAACACCCAAAAAACTTTTTATTCAAATTACTAAGTTACTGTTGCTTTTCCTTCGTAAGAAAACACTTGATGAATTAAAGGCAGAGCACTCGCAATGCCTCGATTCAGGCCAAACGAGTGAAAGAATGGCCAGCCAGCTGGGCATGGTGGTGGTTGTACTTTGTCGTTTAACAGGTCAGTTCTGTGCCGTCTTATATAACAGTGCACATTGTGGCACAGATTGATACTCATACCTGCTCATCTGGCATTTAAGATGCAAAGAAATATTAATTAAAGTTACGTCCAAACAAGCATCGATGTGTTTTAGTTTATTTGGATAATTATTTGTCATGGCTGCTAGAATCCACTGATGTTGAAGACAATCCCTTTCAGGTGATATAGAGTGATAAGATGACATTTCCCATAACATTTGTTTTCTTAACTTTCAATTAGATGTTTTAACTGTTGCAGTTTCTTTCAGGCAGATTTTGATAAACCATTTGTCCTTAACAAGAATAGGTGTTCCATAAAGTGGTGTGGCATTCACATCACATAATGTTACTTTTAAAAGAGCAGCTAACGACAACTGTTTGGTGAAGTATTGTACAGTACAGTATCCATGTAGCTGTGAAGTAACATGCATGTGATTGTTTGAATTGATTTCAGAGGTTGATTGATTAGTTGATGGTTGTTGACATACTGATGGGTGTAGAGCATACTAGTAGCTAGGATGACCGATTGACTTGCCTGGACATTGGGTTTCGGTAACTCATTTCACTGGACTTTGGCTTGATCATTGGATTTAGTCGCTGGACTGGGCAAAATTGGATTAGGCAGTTAGGCATGACTGTACTTATCATGAGAAATGGTCTTGACGTAACTGAACCGAGTATGTTGAATTAATGTGACTATACTTGACAAAACTGAACTTGTTTTGGGTATACGGACTGATTCAAATCGTGGTACTAATGGAAAAGTGGTGAGAATTTTAATTTAAAGGAGTTGTGAATGATTGGTGTGGTTGATGTGAACCAAGTTTGGGGAGTAGGTTTCTCCAAGTAGGTTAGTTACAAATAATTAAGAAGTTGTATCATGTTACATATGATGCACTGTTGTGGTATGTATAGTATTCATTACTAGTTCATTATGGTAGGCATGCACTGTTTTTTAGTATTTTAATATTCTTATACATAAGGTTTAGACTTTATTCACATTACACACACACATTTATGTACACTATTACAACACAATACATGATACACTGCTGCAAGTTTTTTTCGTCCCTGTCATAACACGTCCCGTGAGAGTCACAAAATACTACTCATAGTGTGCGGTTTTGAACTGATAGGAGCGGGGCTTTCTGTTGTGAAATGTTTCAAAACGTGTCTGTGGGATTTTACTTTATGAACTGGAATTGTTGATATTCCAGGAGAAGCAACAGAATGTCCTCAGGTTTCCGATCTGAGCACTTCACACATTTTTGCCAGTGCTTTCCATAGGCTTTGCTGCATGTAGGAAATTATCCCATTAGTCCTAGAACAAGTAAATGAGCTGTGCCCATCACCTGCCCACAAAATTTGATCTGTCGAATTCGCTGTGGTCAGTTTGTTGTTGTCGCCTTCCTATATCTTTCTCTCTCTCTCTCGTCAAGGTTTTTCTCCGGACTGACCGTGTAGATCTTCCTTCCGTGTGCTGTCCGGTTTGGTTTGAATCGATATTGCAAGCAGCGGATTGATTGGATCGCAAGCAAGCAAAATTGGGGACTGACGTGAGAGCCTCTTAACCCAAGTGTTTGTGTGCTATGCGAGCAGGTGGCCGAGGCAGCCTTTGAATCTCCCGAGGCTGGGGACGGCGTGGCCGTGCTAGTTCTGAGCAATCCGTGTTGCAAGCGAACAACCGAACCCTCGAGGGTTTGGGGGCCCATCTCGGGGCCTGTGTCGGGGCCCATCTCGGGGCACCTCACGGCGGGAAGAGAGACTATGGTCTAGGGATGGGGACGTTACAGATGCAGTACAAACAAGTGAACCGAACAAGTGAGGTAGCTTGTAGATGATGCTTGCGATTGCTTGCTATCGAATAGCTGCTCTGCTGACGGAAACCAACTGTAGTTGCCAGTCGTGTTGTTGCTGTGTATGGACAGTAGAGACTAGACTCTAGATACAGTATTTCTTTTGAGGATTAGCTTTCGTTGCTACCATTAACTATCTGTCCGTTAGTTTAGATACCGTACTGTCCGTATGTCACTCACGATCCCAAGGTGTGATGATGTTACCTTTGTCAACTTAACATGTATTATGCTTTCAGTATTTACCCAGCTTTGTACCGAATGCACAATGTCTTGTCTGTTGCCACTGTTGACCACTTTATGGGACACCTACGTCTCAGAAGGGACGTTATGAGTCGACTGAGAATAGCTCACTGCCACCCACCCGTCCATGCACGGAATTATGTAATTTACGATCAGATTGTTGCAGTGTTATTAGCAGTCCTGTTGATCCGTGCTTCATAGTTAGTTCAAGGACGTTCGGGTGGGTGTATTGTTTTGAGTGTGTGGTGTGCTTGTGTGTGTGTATGTGATGGTGATCGTGTATTTGCGTGGATGTTTGTACACATTTATAATCCATTTTATTGTTGATTTGTTACTTTATTGATTGATTTATTTATTTATTATCCAAAAATATGAGTTGTGAACCCTTTTTCTGCTGGATGAAATGTTATTATAGGGAGGGAATTTTCTTTAGACAACATTTATGTAAAAATTATTCACTGCCTGTTCTTTACTTACAAGTTCTTAATATTAAATTATTAGACGACAATAATAAAGTGATGAAAAGGTTTGAATCGAGGTTTTGTTACTTGCCCGATCTGCAGTAGTAAGGAAGACACCTTTCCAATGAAATTGCAGACTGATATTTTGTAGGGATTGTGTCCATTTTGTTGGATTTGGTAAATATTCTCTGCTGCAGATTGGAATGCACTCTTACTAACACGCACTCACTCTGTCTCTGTCATTTGTGAGAATACCTGGGGTCCAGTCCATATCTAAATGAAACATCTCCATGGAGCTTCCTCTTCAGACTCTGTCCTCCACCGCACACACAAACAATACCACAGTCGTGATTAAGTGGTGTCATGTTCTGCTTCTTCTCTGTTCTGTCTACCCTTCTCTGATTCAATGCAGCGTGATACATACTAGCTTTTACCTGAGGGCCCAGCTTGCCTGTTTAACGACACCTTTTTGATTCCTGTGACAATGCGGTGACGGTAATTTTGGGTCTTTTATTAATTGATCGGGGAAATGAACAGTCCCACTGCCAAGATTGGGGAGCTTTTTCATTTCTTGTCTTTAAATGGTTGTCTGGGAATGCAAGCAAATTGCTGTGTGAGGAATGTAGCAGCTTGGTGAGTGTCACAAGCCAGGTGTCCGTACCAACAATAGCTTGAAGCTTGTGTTGTTTGTGATAGAAGTCATTCATCCGGTTGTGTGCCATTTATCCTCTGGCTGCTTTTGTTTTAATTCTAGTAAATGTGGTTTTGAGATTGTGTGTTCAGAGGTAGTTACATCTTTTAATTACATTTCCTTGCTGAATGCAAAATTAACCTGTGCTTTTTAAGTATTTGTGTGTGTTATAATTGATGGCATACCTAACCTAACATTTGATATCACTGCTGCTTGGAATGCAGCTGCATGTTGGCAGTCTGTCACATCTGTTGCCTGACTTCACCATGATATGATATAAACCTGTTTTTATTTGGTTTAGAAATTGACTCCATTGCACTGAAGCAATTTAGTTTTAGCTTTATTTATTTATTGTTTGTCATAATCATCATCATCAGGTCTTTAAAAATTACGTAATGTCCTACTTGCCAAAGTAGAATTTTATTGACTAACCCAAAACCTTTAGAAATGTGCCTTCTTTATAACTGTACATGAGAATTTAACCCGTTTATTGCCAGATTATTTTAAACTGGCTGTATTAACATAAGGCAGTCATATTTAGTATTTTAGTTATGAGGATTATAAAGCCTGTTCTTTTAGTAGTTGGAAATGTCAGTTTTTGGAAAAAATATTGAAATACATTGCTTGTAAGAGAGTATCCTACTGCGACGTTTAAATACAATGGTGGTGTGTCATCTAATTTGCAATACAACACAATGTCTGTATTAATATACTATCAGCTTTATTAATAAAACACTGTCGGTGGTGTCATAGTTGAACAACTTCAAGTAAATTAATACAGACATTGTATTGTGTTGCATGTTTGACAACATGCTACCGTTGTAATGAAATGTATTTTTGTTAATTAATTTATTTTAAATAGTTCACAAGAATGGAAATATTTATTTTTCTTTTGAACTGAAATAAGAATAATGTTTTCTTCAAAATGAAGTTTTTTGTTTTTTCATTCTCTCATTATTTTGCTTCTTGCAGATGTTAACATTGCTGACATGAAAATGGTGCCTATGACCCCGAAATATAACAAATGTGCTGAATTTTTTGCATGCCAGCTTACAAGTTAACTCACTTTGGCCAAGGAGGCAATAGTAATTTTTAAGCATTACATCATTATCATCGTCATGATTATGTGAATTCCGTATAATTTTGCTTGGTCACTAGCTTTGTGTGCATGTATCCTACTGTTGTAACCCTGGTTGGCCTTGCCATGCGTCCAAATCTTGAGACATACTCAGAAGCAAGAACTGTGGTGTTCATTGATGTTTGTAGGGGATCCTAGTTTTGCTTTGTTCTCAGGTCTTGTGGTTGACCTGCACATGAAATATATGCAAAGTAAATTTGTTTCTTTGCTTGTGTAGTAGTTCTAATTTGTATTCATTTTTCTAGCTACATTGAACATATTTTATTTCCTATTTACATTGTATTTGCTATTTCTATTTTGATTCATGAGATTTTTCTGTTTCATGAAATCTCTGGCTTGCTTTCTACGTGTTTTTCGCTTACTAATACTTAATTTTTGATACATAAAATTTTGACTGCTAAGTGGTGTAACATCAATGAACAGCATCAGTGGTAACTGAGTATAGACAGTCTGTCATTGCTGTATTGCTTTAACCAATTTCTTGGCAAATTATTAAAGAGCCTTCCTTAATACCAGAAGTTTTGGTACCTTGGTACTAGTCCAAGTTGCAGCAGCATCGCTGCAAGGATCCTAGCTCATTATTGTGCCAGGATATTAGTTTTGCCTGAAAGGAAAGAAAGAAGGCAAAAAATGAAAGAAGCAAGGAAGGAAAGAAGGGAGGATGAAAATGAATGCCAGACATATTTGTATATGCGTCAGAACCCTCCCACCCTCATGACTGTCCTTCCCTGTGTTTGCAGCTGCGAGTAATCAGGGCTTTCAAGTCAACACTGGAAGATCTGGAGGAGCGCCGCTCTGTACATAGTTTACACAGCTTACACAGTTTGCGCAGCTCGCGAAGCCACACGGGCCCACGCCCCCTGTCCGACATCAGTTACATTGACGAGGACCCTGTCAAAACACCGTCACTTCTGAACGACCGCGACAAAACCAATAATTCCTCGATGCTTCCGAAGATGGTATCTCCTGCTGAGGATCCCCACCTGGTGCCAGCGGCAACGGCGGGGAAGGACGTCACTGCTGGCAGGGGAAACGCACAGAGTACTGATCCTCCACCTCTAACGTCTGGTGGTTCGGGTTCCGGTCTCTTGGCACCGCCCCATGCTCCCGCCCCTCACCGCTCTGCGCCGCAGCACTTGCTACACCTCCCTGCTAAGAACAACCACACACAGCGAATATCTCCCTATCAGCCACTGAGCCCTGCCCGTCTGCAGAATCTATCACCACAAACATTGAATTCTTCAGGCGGTCCAACCCCAGCCCCTCCTGGGGTTCCAGACTTGCCCAAGCTGGTACACGAGACTAGCATCTAGTTTCGTTCATTTTCAGAAACGTAGGTGCTTGATCGGATACATTGTTTTTCATTTCGTTTCCTTAGTGTTGTTGCGTGTGGTCTCTCACCGTGCACCTGCATTCACCATCACAGTCCCTCCATGTTGCTTGTAGAATCCCCCACGATCGACCGGATAGCGGCAGGCTGATCAGGTTTGTGGTGATGCGATGATGCTGGTTCCCTCACATACAAGGGGAGAGTGTAGCACATGGCACTGCATGTCTGTAGAATAGCTGCCTGCCTTGTGGCTTGCCTGCCCACCCACCCAATTCTCATAGTCAAAATTTGGGCTAAAGACTTGTAGACAGAAGTGACTTGCTGGGCCATGAAGTGGAGAGTAAGGGAAGGAAGGGGTGGAACCGGGACGGTAGCTTGGGGGAAAACTTTTGGGTTTGGGGATGGGATGGGTGTGCCGCAACAAGATCGACTGACCGACCGCCCGCCCCCTCATTGCCCTCCCCATGTTTTCTTCACTTAGATGAGTGTTGTATTGTGAATGGATGTCAACTGTGAGAGCTTGCCAAACTTTTCCTTTTCTACCTTGCATCTCATAGTGCCCAGCAGTACGTATATATGTGCGTAGTCTCTGTAACGTACACATACATTTCTTCCTTCCACCTTTCACGATGATACCGTACCATTTGTGTCTGTACATACATAAATTTTTTTGTTCTCACTTTTTCTCTGTAGCTACAAAGTGTTTGTTGAAGAAAAAATCACTTGTTTCATCATCTTTGTTTTAATGCCTCTTTTCTCAGTTCCAGCAACTAAATTATATACATTCAGTTCTAGGGATTAAGCATTGAGTTGTCATCTATGCTCTCCCGTGCTCGGTCGATGTGCTCAAAGCAATAAGAGTCAGGTCGAGCAGGCTGTGGCACACGATGCAATGAGATGCAGTTATTTCACTGCTTGGCATGGGTTCTCTCTTGTTGAAGGTTTTAGCACTGTTTGCGTCCCACCTTGCTCGACAGTTTGCTGTAGACTTACATCTATCGAGCACTTGACCTTTCACCCTTCTTACCTGACCCCATTTTTCGGTTCAAAACACTTGCTATTGTTTTATGACCATTGTTACCCTTTACTCTTGAAGGTGATAGGTGGTGAGTTGCAAGAACGTTTGATTCCGGTCCCCTACAGCAAGAGCTCCACTGACCAAGCTGTAAGCCGCTTTCCTACTTTCATTCTTGTCCGCTCGATTGATCGCTCGTGTTACTTTAGATACCTAGTGGAGCCCACACGATGACAGGTTCAGTCCACGCCACTAGCATGAAACTTAATTTTAATCCTTTGTTTGAGATTCTGTCTCTGTCTCTGTCTCTGTTTCTCTTTCTCTGTTACTTGCAACCTTTCGCCCTGCACTTTTTAGTTGGCAGCAGGTGAGATATATCCAATGCCTCAACAGAGCATGTTACGCCACCTCTGCAGCCATGTGCACCTGCACTGAATGGATGCCAGTCCTCTTTCTTCTTTTTTTTTTTGAACCTGTACTCTATTAAAAATCTGTTGGTCTGCAACTGATTGGTTGGTTGATTGGTCATTTTAGATTGGGTTGGTCATCCTATGGGCTTCACCAGGGATCTGTAACACCATGTGGTGAAATGCTTTTGGTGTCTTATTGTGTGTATGTGTAGCCCTGTAGATTATTGACATGTAGTTAGTAGTGATATGAAATTCTGTTTTTTATATTACTACTCATCCATGTTTTCCATTCCATTTTGTAGTATTTGTAACTGTTCTTCAAATAGGATATTTTGAAAACTCCAGGTAGGTGGTTAGCCTTAGTGCATGGTTTCTCATGGTCAACATATGCACCACTTGTATCATATCTTGCTACCACTTCAGTTGGTCTTGCTAATGCTTGCTTTGCAGTTGTAACATTCTACTAGCGAATTTCCCTACTTGTGCACTCCCCTACTTGACTCTTATATCTTGTTGTTCCCTCCTCCAGGTTCGCCCCATCCTCTCAGACCCTTTACCACCTCTTTCCTGTTCCTAATCAGCAATGTTGCAGGTACCCCCATCCCATGCTGCATGTGGAAATTAAACAAGCGAGCAAGTGCCTATTGAGGTACGCCAGCGCTCTCATTAAAATGATCAGTCCGACTTGACTCAAGAATAACTGCATGGTTTTTGAACGACCCAGAAGGAGTTCCACTGTTACAAGCGAGAGTGAAATTCTGGCTGGGCAGACCAAGGTGCGTGCTTTGACGAAGGTTCCATCTTGTCGGCGAGTGCTCGTATCGTACTGTCTGTTCAACTTAGAAGTTTTCATTTTTATATGACCTTCAAAGAGAGGTGTGCAGTGCTGCTTTAACCCATGGTTGCTTTACTAGTTTCACAAATTTTTTCTATCACTTTTGATTTATAACGTGTTTTAATTTTTTAAAGCTTGAACTCAAGTGGTGATTTGATTGACTTGAGGGCCAGGCTCATGAACCCTCTGCTTAATTTTTCTTTTGGGGGGGTGGATTTTTTTGCCTCTGAATGTAAAGTTTTTTTTTAAGAAGTAGCCACTTTTTAAGGCTTCATATTGCACAGAGGATTGGCTTGCAGTTTGCAACATGGGTGTGATTTTTGATGGGCGGCAAGGCAACACATCCGTCTTTTGAGTTGGTGTTTGTGGCATGAGTCAGACAGTTTAATCTGTTAGTGTTGGCATGGTGACTCATACTTTTTCAGTTCCATTTCTTGGCTCAATTCTACGTTCCAGCGGCGTGTGGATGTGCTTGATCAACGTTTTTGGTAAATTTCTAATGCTATATCCAGGATTTAAGATGAGAAACTCCTAACTGCACGCAATTATGTTTCTTTTTACCCCCCCCCCTCCCCCAGTTTGGTGGTGGCCATTTCAATTTTATATTTGATAAATGTATTCCATTTATAATATAAAGGAAAGTTAAAATTTGGTAAACAGGTTGTGGTGTGACCAAGTCCCACTTCATGTATTTTGTTCACTTCTGCATTTATTGTCTTATTTCTTTTGTTTGATATTTTGTCAAGGAACTAAAGAAAATAATGTTTTGTTCTGTGTATCATTTGCTTATTGTCATTCACTGCCAGTACTATACAGCTGCCTGTCATATAATCAATGTATTTACCACCAGCTGCAGTGACCATCCAACAGATACTGTAGAAATACAGTACGCAATATAATTATTAATGGCCGTAGCTCCATTACGTCAATGACTCATGATAACTTGGAAGTAAAGGAGTAAAACCATTGCGTTGTGTGTTCTTCTGAAGATTGGATTGAACAGCACTTGCCTATTAGTTGTAAATAATAGTTATATCTTAATCTCATAGATATTAACAGTATGTGTGCGTGTGCAATTGTGCTGTAGTATTACAAACTTTCCTTCGAATGGGCATTTAATTAATATGTACTGGTTAAAGCATTTTAAGAAAAAACAATTTTTTTGCCCATTTTCTTATGTATCATACAACAGTGAAACATACTCAGTGTTTATGGCATGTGGAAAAGTATTATTTAAAGGTGGTTAATAGTATAATAATATTAGTAATAGCGGCAGTAGTGGTGGTGGTAGTGATAGTAGCGATCATAGTAGTAGTAGTAGTAGTAGTAGTAGTAGTAGCAGCAGCAGTAGTAGTAATCGTAGTATTAACAATAAATAATAATAATAATTTTGTGCTCACAAAGGAGTGATTCATGTCATCAATTAAGAATTATAAGTATTGTGAGCGAGTCTGAGAAGTACTTGTAACGAAGTGTAAGATATGTATATTCTGGAAATAGGTAATTTATTAACGCTACTTGCAAAGAACAATGCATGAAGAAACTTGTTTTTGGTAGCTGTTGATACGCAACACAAATGGTGCTTAGCTGTAATGGGTCACTTTATGTAAAAAAAAAAAATGTGTAAAAATTCTGTTAAGTTTCAAAGAAATTCTTTTACAATTGCTAGAAATTGAGAAACAAATTGAGATCTGTAATCCAGTACCCTGGAGATATTCAGTGGCGCAATCATCCGATGTAAGTTGAAGAAACATTAAAATACTCTATCACCAGTTTGAAGACTGGATGTTTTACATGCTTAATAGTTGAGTGGTGGTAAGTTTGAACGTCATTAATAGGATGCCGAGCCTAATTATGTTCAGGTAGGACCCAGATATTTATGTGGACAGTTTATTTCGGGTTGAGACTAGGGTTTCTCTAGGACAGAATTTTTGTTCAACCAGTTATCTATTATAAAAATATTGAAGTAACCAGTAAAAACCGGTTGATATTTTTTAGTGGTGATTGTTAAATTTTTGTAACTAATTTTGTAACATAGTTTTAGAATGTTCGAAAAATAAATGTTATTCTGTATAAAACACAAGCAAGCACAGTGTGTCTGAAATTAATATATTTTGTTTGTTTTAAAAATAAGATTTGGAAAAACTGAATCATCATTCAGGTGACATTGAATTCTTGTAATGAAATTCTCGGCAATGGAAAATACATATTCACTTCCAGTAGGTGTTCGTTTCACTGTTTGCAGTGTGTTATAGAGGAAAGAGCTGTAGTTTTTTGTTTTTTTAAATTTGTCAGCTGTATCAGATAAATTGAAGTCCAACTATAGCATTTTAGAGTTTTTATCTTCTTTCAGTTCCGTAACATCCACCATTGCTGAAGTTATTACCATAAACTCTTAGTGAATCAGCCGTACTGCTTCTGGCTGGGACTGGGAATTATTGTCACTGAGAGTTCTTTGTGCAGATGGCAGATAATGTTCTCATTTTGCAAAGGTCCTCAACAACCGCTTGTTTCAATAGTTAATCAGGCAGTATTTGATGGAATTTGAATGTGGCACAGTTTGTAGATTACCACTATATTGAAATCATTATTTCATTTTCAGTAAAATAAGGAAATGTATGAGAGACATTGAAAAACATAGGGTTCTTCTGAAAGTATAAGAACTCTTAATTACCTTTATGACAAACCTAGTTATTGTTTTATTATGATCAACACTACATATATGTAATATAAAATACATTGTGTAATGGCATGTGATCAGATATCAGCTGATATCAAGTAAATAACTAACAACTTCTGTCACAAGATAGTGGCAGTGTCACATGAGCTCATGTAACATCTGCTGACGTGCAAGAGCCATGAAGACTTCGTAGTTCTAGTTCTAAACAGTTTGAAAAAACACCTGAAACAAATTTGAAAATTTGTCCAGTGTACCAGTTTTTGCTGGTTTTATTCAACTGGTAGAGAAACCCTAGTTGCGACATATTAAGTAGATTGATTGGCTTCGGGCAGGTTTATTTTGTTTGAATTTTCATAATCTGGT